CACAAACAGCTTGTAACACTCCAAAGAGAAAGGAAAACTTGAAATCGCATCATATGACCCCTTTAAGCAATATCACTCAGGCTAAGTGCTAAGTGCAATATCACACGAGTGCAGATGTGATACTGATCTTATACAACGGTTCAGTAAGTTAATATTTATTATTGTGTTATTTTAGACACAATGTTGTCTGGTTTGCTTAATTTTGCCAACGAAAATATAAATACAAAGCAGAACTGTTTGTCTCCGTCTCTGAGCAACACACAACGGCATTTCATTTCTTAATGCACGTTTTGAAGAAATTGGGTGAACCATTACCTGTTGTTGGGGACTCCCAAAACCAAAATATGAACCTTTCATTACCCATAATAGGGGCACTTTAAGTACAATTTACCTTGATCTTCAAATAAGGCTCTTTAATTATTATTTAATTAAAATTATTCACATTTTCACAGATTCTGCAAGGGGTTCCCAAACTTGCACATGCTGGCTGTGTGTGTCCCATCAGGCTCAGCTGCAGACCTAGCCAAAATGGCAATGATCAAAATCTGCTCTCAAGTGGCTTCTGCCTCTTATACTGCCAGGTACATCCATCCGTTCATCCGTCCAACTTTCCACTCCCTCCCTCTCTTATAATCTCAAGTGTACCTGAATAATACATTTTGAATATGGGAAATGCAGTAACATTTTACAGAATTACGAGAAAGTTTCTCATTATTATGAGAAAATAAGTCATTATTACGAGAAAGTTTCTCATTGTTATGAGAAAATAAGTCATTCGAGAAAATAAGTCATTATTACGAGAAAGTTTCTCATTATTATGAGAAAATAAGTCATTATTACGAGAAAGTTTCTCATTATTATGAGAAAATAAGTCATTCGAGAAAATAAGTCATTATTACGAGAAAGTTTCTCATTATTATGAGAAAATAAGTCATTCGAGAAAATAAGTCATTATTACGAGAAAGTTTCTCATTATTATGAGAAAATAAGTCATTCGAGAAAATAAGTCATTATTACGAGAAAGTTTCTCATTATTATGAGAAAATAAGTCATTCGAGAAAATAAGTCATTATTACGAGAAAGTTTCTCATTATTATGGGAAAATAAGTAATTATTTCGAGAAAATAAGTCATTATTACGAGAAAGTTTCTCATTATTATGGGAAAATAAGTAATTATTTCGAGAAAATAAGTCATTATTACGAGAAAGTTTCTCATTACGAGAAACTAAGTCATTATTACGAGAAAGTTTCTCAATATAACGAGATACTAAGTCATAATTTTTAGAGAGTTTTTTCATTATTATGACTTACAGAATTATATTTTTTCTCAAATGTGTCGGAAACGGGCTTCCATATGATGGTGACTAAATGAAAGCAGAATTTTTATTTATTTATTTATTTAGTTTGGTAAACCATCCCTCTAATGCATTCTATTGCGTCATTCACTAACAAAGAAAATTGTTTTCGCAGCATTTATTAATCTAGGTTTATATTAATTTTTACATATGCTAATACAATATTTCTTATCCAAGGATGCCTTTCCTTTTATTCTTTTTCTACACATCCCTGATTTTCTCATTCTCTTTTTCTCCCTCAGCCCATCTGTGTGAATCACTCAACTTGCTGTGCAGCTCTATATATTAAAGTAATTTATCTTTGTTAGCATCTCCCTGTCCCTCCTTCTTCGTTCTTTCTCCTCGCCCCTCCCTCCAAGTCTCTTTCTATTCTGTTCAGCGAGCATTAGGAGATGTGTCTGCAATAGATGGCTTCCAGACCAGTGTAGAGCAATAAGAAAACTTGACACATCTAATGTAATTTTGCCGTCACACTCCAGAAACTAAACACATCATGGGTTGGTGGTCACAGTCTGGTTATTATATCTCCACATTAAGATTGATAGTTCTGATCTAGTTTCTGTGTGTCTTTATCTTTTTAGGCTGGTGGCTCAAATCCATGATGAGCTGCTGTTTGAAGTGGAGTTCTCACAATTGGAGCAGTTTGCTGGTGAGGGAGACCGCACATGTCCTGTTATATGAACATGAAAGAAATAATTTGGGTGAAATACAAGGTCATTTCAATTAGTTCTGAGTGAATAATCTCTCATTTTTTTCTGTGGTCTTATTTTAGTATTATTTATATACTATTAAAGTTTTTATTAATATTTTGAATTAGCTTTTATATTTCTATTTCAAATTTATATTTTTGTTTACATTTTAGACATTTTTTAGTTACTTTTATTATTTATTTATTTTTTTTTGGTTCAGTTGTAGTTTTTATTTATTTTCCATTTTCATTTATTTTCAGTTAGTAATTTTAGTGTTTCAACTCGTTTTATTTTTTAGTACTTCAACTTATTTTATTTCAGCTTTATTTCAGTTAGCGAACATAATGAATATAACGAAGGTAATGACACTGATAGTAAACAACATTAAGCTACAAATGCTGTCAATACAGCATAACTAATATTTTACTCAAAATATTTAATTGTTAAATCTTTTATGAGATGGTATGGGACTAAATTAGATCAGTTAGTTTAGAGACAAAAGCACTGGCCATTTAAATACTGTGAATATTCTGTTGGTGAACAGTGTTGGTGAAGAAGACCATGGAATCTCTTCAGCACATTGAAAATTTGGGAGTGAATCTCTCTGTAAGTGAACACCCACAACTTCATTTAAATGATGGTCAATTTATCTTAGTACAAGAAAGAGCTTCTGGTTGTAGAGAAAGTAACAAGCCGTGATCTATTTAGTTTCTTCCTTGTTGCTTTAGACACATTTTATAGCTCTAATAGAAGCCTTAATCAAATCATACAGACTTTCAAACAGATTTGTCCTCTATAAAGGCGATGTCATAGGTTTTGATTGGTAACCTAATTAAACTGCACTGCATTTCCAGACGGCCTTCCTTCCTACAGCCTGGCTTTAAATTACCGTAAAACTAAATGATGCAGCAGATGTAGATCAGGCACTCTAATGATCCCAGTTCTTTTCTCTCTATTTTCAGGTGCCCCTCAAAGTCTCATTGTCCACAGGACCATCATGGGGTTCATTGTGCGACTTGAACCTCCCCTGCACCACTACAGCTACTTCTCTCTGAGTCTCCCGCTCTTCCTCTCCATCCCGTAACTATGGTAACCGGGCAGCTGCAGTTCCCAATTCTTGTTTCTCACTGATGTATCTGAGAGCAATGGTAGGAGCAAGCTGGATCGAACCAGTTCTTTTGGGGGGTGGGGGGCTTCTCTTGATTCATTTTTATCCTTTTACTGTTGGATTCGGTTCTTCTCACCGTTAGAAGCTAGTATCTCTTTGCACGAAAATAGAAGTAGCTATTAAATCAGTTTTTTTGGTTCATTTACACTGTTTGTACATCTTATGTTGACATGCTCTTCAATACATCTTTCAACAAATAATAAATATGGGCCTTTGTGATCAAGATGACTTAATTTCATATGTATTATTGGCTTGGTGAGCTGATGGTGCTGCTATCTGTTTCTCAGCTGCTGTGTTGGAACGTCTGTCTCCTGATGAATATAAATAAACTCAGTCCTCATTTAGTGAGTCTCGCTCACTCCATTTTAAACGCGTTAATCTTATCTCTTCCGTTTTCACGGCACCTCACAACTCTCTTCGCAGCAACCCACTTGCCTTTTGCTGTATCTCTGTCTCATGTGTACACAGTCTACACACACACACTGACCCAGATTTTCAGTGTCCGTCTGTGGTGTCAGGTCTTCTGTGCCCCCTCGCAATACACTCTATCAATACAAACACGCCCTTGAAAAATGTTCCAGTCACTGTGCTTGTTGCTGTTGTGTTTTCAGAGGCGGTAACAGTGCAGATGGCTGTAACCCCCTCTGAATGTCATGATATCCCTGAAAGCCTATTCTTAAAGGTCTGGTGCTGAGAGTAGAAACATATTACCCTGCTAGCTCATGATCTGTCTGTTCTCTCTTAAAGTCATTAATTAATGCTCAGCATCACTGAGATTTGGTATAAGAGAAGATCCTTTAGGATGTGTAATGGGGGGTCAGTAATGAGATTACCGGTATGTTTTAAACAAATCATTTGAGTCTTCCATATTACTTAAGGCTAAGAACTGTATTACAGTTGGCCTGTTTACACCTGGTCACTTAATGCGTTTTCTCTGATTGGATAGCTGTCTGATTTATTAAAACGGTTCCTTTTACACGTGGCCACATAAATGTGTCTCCGCAAAATGGATACATATCCGATCCTCAATTCCCCATGCTATATGCAAATTTAATGGAGTTCACGTCAACAAAAGCAACAGATATTTTTATTCACCAACAGCTAATTTCAAGATCAAAGCCCGCAACAAGAGAGAGTGCGGCATCAGCACTGGAAAGATAAGTTAATGAAGATGATTGTGTGTTGAGCGCAAATTAAACTGAGTCTTATTTTCAGTTTCATTTGCGTTAGTTTGCGCGTCGGCTTGCTGAAGAGATAACTCAGCTACTCATCTGTGGCGATTCATGTTGTATTAGCGCTGGAACATCTGGCTATGACATATGATATAGCCTATAACACGCTCTCATACGTTTATTATTTTAATATTTTGGGAGGAGTAAATTTGCTTATCCAGCCCTCTACGGACACCTTGGCAATTGAATCGCCATTGGCTAGTA